CGGAAGTATTTGTTAACAAGTTTTCTTTTAAATTTTCAACTTCGTTTATAAGAGTAATTAAATGAGAATATCAAAATTATATTACAACTTATATTTAATTTATTTCTTTACAATAATTAATACATGCCGTAATTATGATCTTGATTTTCAAATGCGCGCCACGTTAGAATTTGAAATTTCAAGTTGAATTTTCTAAAATATTTCTCTTTTTCCAAAATTTCTAATCAAATTTATTTAAAAATATTCTTCTATTGAATATACGTTGTCAGCTTCGAAGTTCTGTAAGAAAATAATGTTTTTTTATCGACTATTTTGCGTTCAAGATAAAATCGACAAGTAGTACAAGCGGTTTTATGTGCACGAAATCTATTTGCATTTAAATAGATATTTTTAAACATTATTCAAATAAGATCACTGATAGGGAGTTGTAAGCCTTGAAATTTACAATTCATTGCTTCCAGGGGGCAAAAAAGATGAAACATTAATATTACCAGCAAATGATTCTATTAGTGCCACCTTAGATACAGATCAGGTACATATGCGACTGTTATTAAAGATATAACAAATATTTAAAAAATTAATTTTTTTCAGTTATGTGCAAAGACTACTGTAATGGTCAGTCCACATTTTAAAGAAGATTCTATATGGTTAAATGGAAAGTAAGTTTTAATGTTTATTAATTATGCATGTGTATTTTATTATAATATATTAATGTTATATTCTTTTTCAGGGAAGAAAACATCAGGAATCCCAGAATACAATCCTGTTTAGCAGAGAGTAATCAATTAACTACTGATACCTTGAACTTTTTTAAATGTATCATAAATAATAAAACATATCATTTTAGTTAGAAAACGTGCAGGAGCTTCCAATGCTATAGGAAAATGGAAAATTCATATTTGCTCGGAGAATAATTTTCCAACTGCGGCTGGTTTAGCCTCTAGTGCAGCTGGCTATGCTTGTTTGGTAGCAGCACTAGCTAAGCTATACGAAGTGGAGGTAGTATTTAAAAATATAGAAAGTGTAAACTATGTTATACTTAACTTTGGTTATTATCCCTTTACTAGTAAGTGGTATATTCTAGGGTGACATCAGCTCAATCGCTCGTGTTGGCTCTGGATCAGCATGCCGCAGTGTTTTAGGAGGCTTTGTGAGATGGCACATGGGTTCTGATCCAAGTGGAACTGATAGTATAGCAAAACAAATTGTACCTGCCTCTTATTGGCCAGAAATGAGAGTATTGATATTAGTTGTATGTGGTACAACACTTTACATATTATTTGTAGTTAACTATTTCATATTCAGATATTCAAATTTATGTATTCTATTATAGGTAAATGCTGCACAGAAAAAAGTCTCTAGTGCAGTTGCAATGAAAAGAGGCATGGAAACATCGGAGCTGTTGAGACACAGAGTAAAACACATTGTGCCAATAGCAGCAAATAAAATGCAACAAGCAATAATAGAAAAGGACTTCAAAACTTTTGCCAAACTCACTATGAAGGATTCTAATAATATGCATGCAACGACTTTAGATACATATCCTCCGTGTATTTATTTAGATAATACCTCACATGCAGTTATTGATTTAATTCATTCTTATAATAATGCTTCTAATGATACAAAGGTATGACGATACTAGCATATTTTATTACATTTCAGAATCTATGATAAAATTTATTTTGCTTTAGGTTGCGTATACATATGATGCAGGACCAAATGCTACATTGTATCTTTTAGAAAAAGATGTTCCAGAAGTTATGGGTGTAATAGATTATTTCTTTCCACCGTTACAGGACAATTTAGTTGAATATAGGAAAGGATTGCCTATGGAAACAGTTAAACCTTCGCAAGTAAGTTATCTAGTTTTTTATCTCTTATGCAGTGGAAACATAGTAGTGGAAACAACTATATCTAAATGCAACTATTTTTTGATGTGTTTTAGAATTTGTTAGATAAGATAAACATTCGAAAGCACGAACCAGGATGTTTTAAATATATTATTTATACACGAGTTGGTGATGGTCCTAAGTATCTTGAGAATCCCAAAGATCATTTGTTAAACAATCAAGGGTTGCCGATTCATCACATATAAATTTTTCGTAGTAGAAACTTTAACAATGCAACATGATAAATTATAATTATCTATGAAATGTTTTTAATGAAAAATGATATTTAGCACAAGAAAATAAAGTTTAGTGTATAGTTACTCCCTATACTATATACTTATATATATTCCCTATACTAGAATTGCTACGTCACTGAATATTCTTCTATAAAAGAATAGTGGATATTTTCTACTGTGTCAAAATATATATATATATATATTCTTAGGTTATGTATGTATTGAGAATGGAATACATGACTTTTGTTTAGTAAGCTGAGATTTCTTAATAAGCAATATTAGCAAGTAATCAAAATGTCGGAGGCTGCAGAGTACAAACTCTTGTAATTAAGTACATATTCAAGAGACGTAAGATTTACCTATAATTGTAATTATGTCTCGCGGCGTTGAATTTGTTAATGCAATCTTAAAGAATATAAGTAGATCACCTGGTTTTGGACAATGTTTAAAAAAGGTAAACTTTGCACTTTTTATTCATGAATTATATTTTACGTAATTTTATCCTTGTTTTACAGTTGGAAATAGTCTCAGCAGGGGATGGTAAGTGTAAAGCAAAATTAGTTGTTTCTGAAGAACATTTGAATGCAGGTGGCACAATGCATGGAGGTTATACAAGCACAATTATAGATTGTATATCCACTTATGCTCTAATGACACACAAAGAGTGTCCACCAGGAGTTTCAGTGGATCTCATTGTTACGTATGTTCACGTTACAATACATAATTCTTTTTTTATTTTGAGAGATAGTGATTATTAGTAAAAATTTATGTACAGATTTATGAAACCTGCTCTACCTGGTGAAACAGTTGTTATTGATGCTAGAACTGTACGAGCTGGAAAAACATTAGCATTTCTCGCAGTAGATGTTAGCAAGAATGATGGGAAGGACATGGTCGCACATGGGCGTCACACAAAATTTATTGGTTCTTGAGATATACAGGCGAAGTAGAAGTATGTAAGCACATACTGCTAGTGACCACTGTGTTTAATATTGTAGACTTTGTGATAATATATATATATAACATCTAAGTATCCTGAAACATTTTTAAATGTATATGTACGTTATATAAAGTTGTTGTAACGAATACATTTTCTGTACGCAATATCATGTAGCATTCTCTTTTATTCGATATCAAATTATCACATTATGACTAAAATATTTCTTTTACTATATAAAATATATATTATAAATCATTATAATACATTCTACAGTGTTTAATGGCACAAGATTATGAGAAATGCAATTGCTGGTGACATAGAAACGAGTAATATCAAATTTGTACATATCAAGCAACATACGCGTTAGCAATCCCTGGAAAAAAAATATTTCAATAGTCGCTGCTCAGCACAGAATGCATTAAATTATATTTTCTGATGTATAAACGACCAACTCGCATAACGCATAAAGTTGGATGGTGATATGTTCGTATAAAAGAGACGATTTTAATGTCTAAATACTTTCTATCATTATCGAAACGTACTGCGATACAATTACATATAAAAGAAAACGATTAAAAGCTACTCGAAATAAAAAGTTACAATCTTACATGACTTTTCTACAATCTACAATCTAAATTACATATCAAAGATTTGTGTTGCAACAACACTGTTCATATAAATAATTCGTCCTAAATCAATGCTGAAACGTTTCTCGTTAATATTATTAAAGCAACGTACAATTCTCCGTGATCCAACAGAACTGGTGTCCTTGCGAACACAGAATTATAGAAAATCCGATTTTCTATAAATCTCTCCATTTTTATCAAACGATAAACCAAAATACAGTAAAGGACGACAAAGATTTGATCTTTGCACCATGTTTGCAGTTTCCATAATTCACAGTGTATGTACATTAACAAATGTGTGGTGTTAATAAAATACAAGCGCGTCTAGCTAAGTGAATCGATAAAATATTAATTGATAAGTAGTCACGATCTGCAAAGACAATGGCAATCTGTTTATCATTTTATTTCAGCATTTTTTACGTCGTCTAAGAGGGACCTCAGTTCTTCTATCTTACGAAACAGCGATTCGGCTAGCGTTGCGAGTTTCCTAGACTCCTTTTCAGTCTCCTCGATCATCTCTTCCAAATAGTCGATCCTCTCGCCGGTATTGTGCTTCATCAGATCGTTCGCTAAATTATTTTGCGGGGCTAAGTATTTGGTCGCGCTGCGCCGGAAACGCGAGATCGTGTTGCTATGATCCTCGCATCCGTCGCAGCAATCGGACCAGACGCTTAGATCGACGTATGGCAGCTCGTCGCAGGTCACGAATTTATTGTCGGCCTCGGGCAAGAGGAACACGTTGGGTTGTACACGGTCGATCTTGTCGCCGTTGTCGCAGAGGATCCTGGCCAGGCTGGTCTGCTTGATTTGCACCAGTTGCTCCGGCTTGAAGGCAGTTGGGCTTTCGTACCAGAATCTGTCTCCGTTCCTGGTCCGCTTGAACTGTTCCAGCAACAGACACTGGAACAGTGGTCCCACCTTGGCGTTGGGCAGTTGATCCTCCAGAACGCCGCCGACCCAAACGTCTATGTTCCCAGGATGGCCGTACAGCTCCCTCAGCTTCTGTCGTACTTTAGCATTCCGTATTTCACCAGCCAGGTCCTCGAAAGTCTCCACGTAGGACATGTTGCAGAACCGTCTCCATTCCAAGTACCCCGGAAGAGCATGATCTCTGCCGCGTTGGATGTTCATCGCAGCGAGATCCAGAGCAACCGCGTGAGCCTGATAGAACAACCCCTCGGTCAGTTCCGAGTTCAAGTTCTCCTCGGGCAGCTTCAACTTGGCAGCGGTGGCGAACATGCCTCTCATCAAAGGATCGACTCCGCCCTCTTCCACCAGTCTCCAAGGCGCGAAGAAAGCGTCTCGTAGAAGAAGAGGACCCTGGGGAATCGACTGGAAGGACTCGTCCAGACGTTCCAGTCGCGGTTGGATCAGGGTGTGCCCGAACCTCAGAGCCGCGGTGGCGAACACGTTCGACACACTGGCGTCCAAATTAGGGTCGTAGCCTCGATAAGAGCCCATAATATCGTCGGCTGTGCCGCCGAAGACGTGCGGCATCCATTGCTGGTAGGTGATATGCTGCATCTCGGCGCCGACGACCTTCCTGGCTTCTTGGTACAGCTTCTCCCCGTTCCAGTGAGGATTCATCTCCCGAAGCTTGCGAGCGACGCGGTTGTGCTCCCTCAGCCAGATCGTGTGCATAGCTAGGAGACCGACTTGCTCGTTCGCTCGGATGTCCCCGGCCACGAAGCAGTTGATCGAACTTTCAAGAGGATTCCTCCTGCAATCGACGAACTGGCCGGAGGCGTACGGCAGAAGAGGCTTGTGACCGGGGATGGCAGGACCTTCGCGCAGTAAACCATGGTCCGTGACAGAGTTCCGCAGATCTCTGGCCAAGTCGTCGTCGTAGCCGTACACCTGAGAAGCGTCCAGGTAGCTGGTCAGCTGATTCAATTGCTCCCTGGGCGAGAAGCTGCCCCACAATATACTCGTCATCCCGGAGCCGCAAACCGCGCTGGTCCTGATGAAATCGATGCACCTTCTGCTGTTTATTCGGGGATCTCTCGGTGGAACTTCCATGGGGAAGCAAGGCGCGGCGTTCTCGCAGGACTTCTTGCAGTCGATGCCGTCCCAGGACTCGCTGGACACCGAGGGCAGCGAGTGGTCCAAGTCGTGGTCCAAAAACTGGCCCCATTGCATCACCATGTGCGTGATCCTTTCGTCGGAGGTGACGTGCTGCGTGGTCACCAACGTGGTCGAAATTAGTCTCGCAGCGGGCTTCGGATAGCCGTAGTAACGACGGCCTTTCTCCCATCCGACCGGCGTCGAGAAACCGTTCTCGTAAATCGGTTGCAGAACTCTGCGGAAACCGGTGTAGGACGAGCCCCATGTAGGATACCGCAGATTATTGCAGCTGCCGTCCACGCTGCGGTACCTGTGGTGGAAGCACATGTTGGTGCAATTCCGCCGACGCCTGTGGCCCGTGCAGTCGGACAGTCTTTCGATTTCTCTCACCTGAGAAAACGAGGAACGTTCAGTTTACAGAGCATGAAACAAGACGATCGAGATCTACGGAGAAATCATAGGAACCTGCTCGGGTGTCAAAAATTCCTCGTAGTGATATTCCTTGGTGGTGTTCGTGCTGACACCAGAGCTGATCATCCGTCTGATGTTGACGAGCGTCCGCTCGAAGATTTCAGCCGGTCTGGCCGCGGCGCGGCCGACTGCATCCGGAAACCGCGCCAATCGGAACGGGTTCACGCGTTCGGACGCGTTCCCGCTGAACAGACTTATCAGCGTGTTGTTAATCGCGCGATCGATCTCCTCCTTCGCGTCTTTGAACGCTCTTATCACCAGCACGTCCGACGTTCCAGGCTGGCGAACGCGAACCAGAGCTTGGGCCGTCGCGCGACCGTAGTCGTTCACTGCCGAACACTCGTACCTAAGTGCAGAGGATTGTTGAAGATTATTCGGGGACATTTTTTGGTGAAAGCTTTCAACCGTTTGCGTACCACTTAGACTATCAATTGGCCTATCAATTTCGCGAAGAATGGCTCGCGCCGATCGATGAGGACCAACATGATCGTACAGCGTCGTTGATTCTGTGTGTATACAGTAAATTCTACCTAATTGACGCTCGAATTGGGTACAAAAATGGACGATTTATAGTTGTTGACGATCGGTAACTAATAAAAACGAGCCGCGAGGCTCGAATAATCGTATTTTCTCTGCCCAAATTTTGGTGTCAATTAGGGAGAACTTACTGTATCTGCCATGAAAGTTAACCGTTTGCGTACCACGAGCCACTTTTGCGCTCTTCAGATTTTGGGTCGAGAAAAGCCAGGGCATTTGGCCGAAACAGACGACTTACGACCCACTCGAAATTTGTCGAAACGTGCTCGGTCTTTCGGACGCGTGTATACGTCGCGCGTCGCGTCGCTGTCAGTACTCCAATTTGCATTTTGTTGTTACCTATTCTAAATTAATAGTATATATATTTTCATTCGTAACGTTTTATTTTATGTTTTACGGCTTTTTTCGACGCATAATCGAAGGAGCGCTATTGCGCTCTTCGGCTTTTTTCGACACATAATCGAAGGAGCGCTATTGCGCTCTTCGACTTTTTTCGACACGATATTAAAAAGTTTACATCTTTGTAAAATTTGAAAACGACAATACACAAACTGATTAGTCTAAGTAGTTCCTAGCGTGGACTGTCGATTTTTTTTTTAATTACAGGTTTCTCTAATAAGATTATAAAACCGCCAAATTATTTAATTTTAATGTTTTACATTGAATTATTAATTTTAAATTAATAAATTTTAATTCTATAATAGGGTATCTAATCCTAGCTTTTTTTACAAACCTTATTAAATAATTAAATCTTAATTATTAAGCTTATTAATATCAAAAATTTCACCTAACTAATACTTATTTACTTAATACTTAATCATTCTTTAAAAATTTAAAAATTGTTAAAATTAACTAATAATACTAGTTTAACCGCTGATCGAAGGAGCGCGATTGCGCTCTTCGGCTTTTCTCGACACATAATCGAAGGAGCGCTATTGCGCTCTTCGGCGCTTTTTAATCCTGTTTTTTCAGAACCAGCTGGTACGCAAACGGTTAACTAAAATTAACATAGTTGACACGAAGCTTGACATATTTATTCAAGATTTAGCACACGTTAGGCTCAAAGATCGCACTAATGTGGATATTATTCTCCAAAGTTGTTTTCCAACGTAAAGCGTTAAAGAAAACCTTTCAGGTAGTTTTTATGTACAGGTAACCCTTTTATAATATGGTAGATAGGTTCCTAGAAAATGCCATGTTATGTGATACCGTGTTATATGAGACACAGAGTCAGTACAAAAAGGGGGGTTGCGTACCGAAAACTTATTAAGCACGAACATTTTNTCCATAAGATTTGAAAACAACAATACATAAACTAATAAATCTAAGTAATTCTTAACGTGAACCATCGATTAATTACAGATTCCCCTAATAAGAATATAAAACCGCCAAATTATTTAATTTTAATGTTTTACATTGAATTATTAATTTTAAATTAATAAATTTTAATTCTATAATAGGGTATCTAATCCTAGCTTTTTTTACAAACCTTATTAAATAATTAAATCTTAATTATTAAGCTTATTAATATCAAAAATTTCACCTAACTAATACTTATTTACTTAATACTTAATCATTCTTTAAAAATTTAAAAATTGTTAAAATTAACTAATAATACTAGTTTAACCGCTGATCGAAGGAGCGCGATTGCGCTCTTCGGCTTTTCTCGACACATAATCGAAGGAGCGCTATTGCGCTCTTCGGCGCTTTTTAATCCTGTTTTTTCAGAACCAGCTGGTACGCAAACGGTTAACTAAAATTAACATAGTTGACACGAAGCTTGACATATTTATTCAAGATTTAGCACACGTTAGGCTCAAAGATCGCACTAATGTGGATATTATTCTCCAAAGTTGTTTTCCAACGTAAAGCGTTAAAGAAAACCTTTCAGGTAGTTTTTATGTACAGGTAACCCTTTTATAATATGGTAGATAGGTTCCTAGAAAATGCCATGTTATGTGATACCGTGTTATATGAGACACAGAGTCAGTACAAAAAGGGGGGTTGCGTACCGAAAACTTATTAAGCACGAACATTTTTTTTTAATTCCATAGTAAGTAACTTTACTTTTATTAAAAATGTAAATGTATGTACACCACAAAACGGAAAGACAAACAAAAAATATTATTTTCATCTAATTTAACCTTAATTTAATAAATTTCTTTCTCGTCACTACTCGGTGGAATCAAACGAGTACATTTTTTCGGCTGAACGATATCACCTTCATTTTCTGAACCTTCTTCTTCATCAGATTTTTTGCATCTTCTATCCTCTTCAAAAAATCTGTAATTTTGGTTTATTTGCTGGTTCTTAAGAGATCATCGTAGATTTCGTGGTACGAAGATAGACAATTTTGCAGCTTCCTTTTGAATTTTCGGCTTCTTTCAGTGGAAGAGTATACATTTATATACCCTTAATTATAATAATTACATTTTCATGTAAAGGCACTATAGTTCATTATTCCTTCCCGTCGTTATTTTAAGGTAACTTAATTTTCAAATATGTTAAACAAAAATCACGTTATCCAGTGCTGTTAGAAGTAAAATGTCGTACAAAAGTTCTCGCAATTTTCTCATCGTGTTAGAGCAAAATCGTATTGTAGTTGGGCCACCTGTACATGTTCCTTTTTATTTGGAGCACCGATTAACGTTAAATCATTTCAGTACTTGGTTCGAGACAATATATAACATTAATTTATTGCTATTTAGGACCAAAAACAATGAATAAACTGCATGCCACTATATTCGGGAAACTCTCCTCTATCTTTTAACACCAATTAGAACTTTCTAACGTTCTTACTTTTCATGCAATCCCTCATTTTTGTCGAAAATGTTGCGTTTTTACAAAAGTTCGTTTATTTAATACGTTCCGTGCCGAGCTTTTTTACTCGAATCTTCACACTTTGATATTTTACTAAAACTTGATGTATTACGTGCAATTATTAATTCTCGTACACATAACAACGTAACAAAAACTTATCAACGCCCATTCTTGCGGTGGAAATTGATTCTTCGGTTCTAAATTTCTTGTAAACAATTTGTTCAGTTCACTAAGTAAACATGCAAGCGTGTACCATCGATGGTACACGTGGCACGGAACGTGTTAAAAAACTGACGGCGATGGAGCAATTCGATTTTCGGATTCGTGTTCAGGGAGCGAAGCTCTACAAGAATTTCATAGCGACTATAGGAACCCAAAAATCGTGTCGAACAGTGTTACAGGCTATTGCATACATAGAATTTAAAGCTTGTAGGAGGAAGAGCTATGAAATAAATTCACCTGCCAGTGTCCGCCGTGGTGACGTTGTAGAGGTACAAGCTCCCAGCTCGCGATACCTTGACCCTGCTCCCTTCAACCGCGGTTCCATCTTTCTTCCAGACTATCGCCGGTTTCGGGACGCCTTCCACCCTGCACGGGACCTCTATAATCGCGCCGTGTTCCGCCTCCATGTCCTGCGGCTTGTAGGTCAGCTTGGGCGGCCCGTAGACCGAGTCGACGACCCTCAAATCGGCGCTGGCCTCGGCGTAGCCGTTTTCATTTCTCGCGCGACAGACGTACCTAGCCGCGTCGGATTCTTCAGCGGCGAGTATACGCAACACCTCCCCGTTGCCCTCGATAGCAATCCGGCCGCCCACGCTCAGCTGCTGCCCGTCACGCCACCATTCAACCCTGTCCGTGGGCAGGCCCTCCTCCACCTTGCAGGTGAAAGAAACGTTCGCGCCTACCGACACCGTCTGCGACTCGGGCAGCTCGGAGAACCTCAGCGACGGCGGCACGGTGATCACAGCTCTGGCTTTCCGCGACTTCGTCAAGCCCATCTCGCTTCTCGCCACGCATTCGTACTCGCCGGTGTCCTGCATGGTTACGCCGGAGATCACCAGGCTACCGTTGTCCTGGATTATGCTGCGGTAACCGTCGATTGCCACCTCGTTCGAGTCCCGCATCCACATGATCTCTGGCGTAGGGTCGCCTATCACCTCGCAGCTGAACGTTATCGTGCCACCGAGTCGCACTCTGACGTCTTCTGGCCCGCTCATGATGCGTGGCTTGGCTAAAAAAGAGAGGACCGTCATTTCTTGGGAACGGCGAAAATCCGTTTCGGAATCGCTCGGATTGGACAGTTTTCTGAGACTGAGAACCTGATCGGTGTTCTTACGCCAAAGACTTTTAACTCTTAGCACTCCGAACCATTCTGGACGTTGGCTACCAGCTACTCGGCGCCACTTTTCGGCAGGAACGGGCATTTACAGACCCTCGTATTATTTAGTATGGTTTTGGAACTGACTAACATATTATAATGATATTGGACTTATATGAATTGGCTGAGATCGAGAAATTTGCAAAAAAATCAATATTTTATTTTTTATAATTTTGTTATTGTTTATTTTATAATTTTGTTTTGTTGTTGTAATAGCTATCCATGCGAACTCTTTCTCTCGTCGCCTTGTTGCTTGGACGATATCGCTGTCACTGCTATCAAAACGATAGACTAACTGTAGAAGAAAACCTTCTACAGTTAGTCTTTCTAACATATCTGTATAAACGTCTATCCGGAGCTCGTCTTCGCTACTACTTGCGTCATGAGACTCATTCGTGTTCGAACGTTTTGCCATTGTTCTAATAAAAAATATGAATAAATACATAGGTTGAAAATTTCTAATTTTTATTATTAACTCACAAGATGATATTTACCGAAAAAACTTTTACCGAACAATTTATTTACCGAGAGAAGAATCACTTTTCCGATTTTCTCACTCGTTAGATCTATCTATACCGCTCGACGCTTCAAACCAGACCGAGTTCAGCTTTGAAAATCTTTTCCTCCAGATTTTATGATTATAAATCTCACTATACAGTTCGTGCTATGTTCGCGTACCGACCTTTCTTCTACAAACTTGCTTTATCGCTCTTTTCAAATGGCGCCTTTGAAGTGCTCGGACCGTCGTGAGCACGCCTCTCACGTTCTCGTCAAAACCCGCTGACATTTCTTGTATATATCTTAGTAATTTTACTATATTTTGATTTGATTTCTTGCGCCATTTCAAGAGAAAACTTCAGGGAAACATGCATGTCTGAAAAAGTTGCGCTGAAATAACTGAATTCCCCGTAATCACTCCCACGAGAGGGGACATCCGAGTGATATGCTAGAATTACGATGTCCCACGAGAGGTGACAGCGGAGTGCAAAGTGTTAAAAATAGTTAACTAATTGGTGATAGTCGAGAAATGGGTTAAAGAACTCAAAGTCTTCTTTCGTTGTCAACCAAGTGAAATGCTTTAACCGTTTGCGTACCAGATGGTTCTGGAAAAACAGGATCGAAAAGCGCTGAAGAGCGCAACAGCGCTCCTTCGATTATGCGTCGAAAAAAGCCGAAGAGCGCAACAGCGCTCTTTCGATTATGCGTCGAAAAAAGCCGTAAAACATAAAATAAAACGTTACGAATGAAAATATATACACTATTAATTTAGAATAGGTAACAATAAAATGCAAATTGGAGTACTGACAGCGACGCGACGCGCGACGTATACACGCGTCCGAAAGACCGAGCACGTTTCGACAAATTTCGAGTGGGTCGTAAGTCGTCTGTTTCGGCCAAATGCCCTGGCTTTTCTCGACCCAAAATCTGAAGAGCGCAAAAGTGGCTCGTGGTACGCAAGTGGTTAACTTTCATGGCAGATACAGTAAGTTCTCCCTAATCGACACCAAAATTTGGGAAAAGAAGATACGATTATTCGAGCCTCGCGGCTCGTGTTTATTAGTTACCGATCGTCAACAACTATAAATCGTCCATTTTTTGTACCCAATTCGAGCGTCAATTAGGTAGAATTTACTGTATACACAGAATCAACGACGCTGTACGATCATGTTGGTCCTCATCGATCGGCGCGAGCCATTCTTCGCGAAATTGATAGGCCAATTGATAGTCTAAGTTCGACGTTCGCGTCGGTTTGCGCGTATTTACTCAACTGCAATGAAAATCGTTGGGCGACATCGCCATCAACGAACGACCCTGCATCTGTACCGGCGACTCGCACAATGCTTCTCTCTGCAGAGGCTGGTCCTGCAGTCGTTGCACCAGCCAGACGAGATTACAGTCGCAGACCAATGCGTTACTGTCCAGACGGAGTCTCGTCATCGGGCCGACGTTGTGAAACGCGTCGGCGGGCAGATGATGGAGCATGTTGTTATGAAGGAACAGCCGTTCCAGGGCCGGCAGATTGCTGAACGTGTCCTTCTTGATCTCCCTCAGGTGGTTGTACTCCAGATACAGCTCTCTCAGTTTCGGTAGACCGGCGAACGCGCCTGGCGTTATACTCACCAAACGGTTGCTACCGAGATTGAGCACCTTTAGGTTCGGCGCACCCTCGAAGGTTTTCGGCCACAGGTATTTGATGCGGTTGCCGTTCAACAGGAGTCTGTCCAGTTCCGACAAGCCGTGGAAGATGCCTGGACGGATCACGGCGATGTAGTTCATCCGCAGATCACTGAAATTTGGAAGAGAAACATATTTATTATTACGGAGAAAATTGAAATACCTTTAACTGTTTGGAGAT